AAGAAGTCTGTGAAGATGCAAATGAGTGGAAGTTTGGAAGATAAAGGGTAGAGATAGGAGGGGAGGGAAAAGTGTGAAGGAAAACAAGTGGTCAGCTAACAGGGAGGTTACTGGTCTGTTAGATGTCAGGCAGGTTATAGAGTCTCCCACTGCCTGAAGAAGGGTGTTTGTGCCTGAAAGCTTGCAAAGAACTTTTTTCTAACTATTCAGTTGGTCTAATAAAATATATCACATCTACCCAAAGAACCATGCCTTACCAACACTGAGATCTTTTAATTTACTTTCTTTGTGCATTCACATTCCTTCCTGGTTCTTGTTGAAACTGTGGATTCTAGGCAAATAATCAATAACTGAGGGCAGATTCTGTGAACATTTTTTTTTGTGTTGCTCTGTATATAAGTTACAGTATGTGATCCTGTGTTAGCATGAACTGATAGTGGCACCAACTTGCTGGGTTCTTGACTTCCAGTTAATAAGGTGTATAAGACTTGTATCCTTCTCATAAACCAATCTTGTAGTAAACCAAACTCTTTCTTTTGTTAGCTTCTCTGCTACCTATGGTAGAAACTCCTCATGGATTTTCTTCTGTGAAGAAGACACAAGAATACAAATTTTAAAGCTACTGGAAACACTTGGAAGATTTGACAAGTTGAAGGTGAAATACAGATTTGGATATTTAACTGTCTTTTGAGGGTGCTTGGAAGAGATTTTATATTGGATAAAAACCCTGAAAGACTAGTTCAAGTTAATTCATATAAAATACCAACTTAAGAATGTAGATTTATTTTGTTTTGCTTTTTTAGTTATGGGTCTGTTTCTGTTGTAAAAGATTCCTTTCTAGATGATTGCTTTTACGGCTCATAGCTTACAAAATGGTGTGTTGGGGGGAATCTGACCTTTTTACAAGGAACTATATCTGTAACATTCAAGTAGGGAAGGGTTTTAGAAGCTTGTATATAAAGGTGTAGGTCTTTCCTGCCTTGGAGAAAGTTATCTGGAAAGAAGTTTTCTCTAGCTGAATCTCAGTGACAAAGCAGCAGCCAACTTCAGGGTTTCTTGGTCTTTTTCTCAAGCATCTGGCATTGGCCACTGCCAAACAGAATTCTGGATGAGTTGGGCTTCAGTTTGCTTTGGTTGGTAGGAAATTTTTTGTGTAATGTTCTTAGGCTGGCTAGTCCTTAAGGGTGCCTATAGACGTGCTCCGATGCATTCTAATTAGAACGCTTCAGTAAGCCTCACTATTACATGTAGTAAGCATCTTGTGTTTCGTTGAATGAGCTTTAGTTAAAGCATCCTTGCAACCATTTTGAAATGTGGGACACTTAATACACATGATGGTGAGACATTTTAATCAGAGTGAGTCTCCAGGAACTGCTGTAATTAAAATGCCCCCACCCCAACGTACCCCTGAGCATGTCTATAGGCACTCTAGGAGAGGAACAAAATCTTTCTTACCCATGGAAGAAAAATGAGGATTAGGAGGTTTGTAGAACAAAGGAATACAACCAAGCCCATAAAGGAAAAACTGTTAATTTAATGGTGGTGTTGTGATTGATAGGAGTCGTGAGTTACTCTGTGTTTTTTTTTCTGGTATTTGGGGAATTTATTGAAGAAAACTCAACCTGATATCTTTACTTTGACTTGGCTAAAAAAAACTATGCTTTGTACTACTTGGGACTGTGGCAGAAATAAGTCTTGTCTATTTTCTGTTACTTTAAGCAATGACTGAAGGGAAGCCCTGCTACTGTTTTATTTATTTATTTTATGTATTTAGCATATTTACTCCTATTACACTCACATAACTTAGCAAGATTTTCACATTCATTTTTAAAATGAGAACTTTAATAATTCTAGGGATATTATTTGCTCTTTTTTTGGTTTTACTCTTATAGCTCCACAATATCTACACATCTTTCAGGTATTTTCAAAATGTGAATAGGTTGTTTCTGTTACAAAAGCACTCTGTGCACATTTAACAGTTTAAGAATTGATAAAGGTTTTTGTTTTGTATGCTTACTGATGGGATATATCTTTTTGGTATAATGTATTAAATTCCACTATCACAATAAGTTGAGTTTCAGCTGGTATTGAAAGGAAGATAAGATGTGTTTTTGCTTTTCTGTTGAATAGAAAAGCAAAATAATAGGTACCCTTGGTATGATGGCCTATACAGTAACTGATTCTTTGTACAGTGAGTCAATAATCCATGGACTACATAGTTTTGTGTGTTGGGTTAGAATAGAATTTTTCTCAGTGTAGTTTTATCATGTTGATAATATCCATTAAAAAAATCCTAAAAAATATGCGTGATCATGGCTCCAAAATCTCAGTCTTGATCACTCTCAGTCCTCTGGTGATTTCCCGCCCCCCACCTCTCCTTCCCCCAATTTGGTTGATATGGGGTGGAACACTTCATTTTAATGTTAATGTTTTATTAGCAAGAACAGATGCACTCACCAGTGTTACACACTGACTTCCTGTACAAGGTAAGCATTTTTTGTTCTAACCACTTCTCCACCAGTCTTCATCATGCACCAGCTTTCTTTCTATTCATTCTTCACCCTTTCCCTGTTTTGGTAATAATCATTATATAACTGCCTATAAACCATAGTATCTTGCACAAACTAACATCACTGCCATAAACAACTTAATCTTCCTCTTCTGGGTCACTTTTTTCAGATTTAACTTCCTGTGCCTACTTGCCCCTGGTCTCCGTGGCAGTTCTTTTCTGGCCTCAACTCCCATGTTCTCTCTACCAGGGTTTACTGGTTCCTGGCTTGAGAATCCAGTTAAAAACTGCAGTTGGAGACAGACTGTGACAGGCATGTAGATGGGAGAAGGAGGTAGTTTGACAGCAGGGAATCCTGTCTCCAAACTTTTAGAAGTGCTTCCTCATAATCCAGTCTGTGACTTCTAGCAGCCTTCCCTACTCTTCTCCTAAGCTCCACATCCTGCCCCCCCCCCCCCCCCAAAAAAA